AGTATCTGTATATGAATACTAGTGTTAGACCTATTCAAAAACTTTTCTCTTTAATTGTCTTTATTTGTATCTTTATTCTATTGTATTTATTTGTGCTACTTTTTTCAATTTAATTAAACAATTTAAATCAAGCTTCCTTGTGATGTGTAAATTCTTAACAACAATATTACCCCATTGTAAAAATGCAATGAGCACAAACATTTAGGCAAGATAAATGTAATAATTTTGTTTGGAAAAATTTCAGCATTATGGACGTGAAATTTGCAGCCAAAACTTGAAATATAAATTCTCAGAAAGTGCATTAAATTAATCCTCAATTGACCGGCAACACGTTTAACATGCAGATGCATATCCTACGGCACCATCCCGAAATCAATTTAGTTGGAGTACAGAACACAACCCAAAAGTAGCAGCCTACACTGCCTAGTATAGTTTAATAATTTGCATAGTTATTATTGTTCTTTGGTGTTTAGATTATACAGGTTTTTCCTAATGTTATTTAATAAAAATACCGGTATTTTTTTTCTTCTCTCAAAATCTCTTTTTTTCACCACAAGCCCCGCCCCCTCAAGCCCCGCCCCCGTGATAGAATCGCGATACGAATCGAATCGTGGGTCAAAAATCGTGATACGAATCGAATCGTGGGTTTGGTGTATCGTTACAGCCCTAGTTATTATATATATATATATATATATATATATATATTTTTTTTTTGAAAATCGATTTTTGACATTTGCGAATCGATTCAGAATCGCCCACGTCCGCATCGCGATGCATCTAAGAATCGATTTTTTCCCCCACCCCTATTCAGTAAGTATACTGTATCTTTCAACATACCTTCGGGTGTCCATTCATGTTTATTCTGTAACTGAGGAAGAGATGATCGCGCTCCGCGCATACAGTGATATCTGTCACGCCACATCTAAGAGCGCCAAAACGGCATTTATTGTTTGCATTTCGTGATCAAATAGACATAATTTGAAAGATTACACCTTGCTTATTATCAAAAGTAACAAAACACTGAGCTTATTGCGATTATATGTGGTTAATGGTGGTTAGGCAACAGCCCTGTATTCGTTGTGTACACATAACGCATGAGGTGCAATGAGCCGGGGCTGGGCGGGGCAGCAGGGGGCGGGGCGTGTTCGGTTCGCCATGAGAGTATCGCGATACGTATCGTGGGTGGTGTATCGCGGTTTTTCGGTTCGGTTCAAATATCGTTACACCCCTATTATTCATAGCCTAACGTTACATTGCGGGGAAATGTCTCCACGTGGATAATATTATTAGCAGTAAATGTTTTGTAAAAACAAAGATAATAACAGCAGCTTTCAACCTTCATGAAAACATGAAATCTCAAACATACAGTAGCCTAGAACTTTAACGTTTGTTTGTGCTTGACGAACTTGTTTTGGTGTTGCACCCGCGTCTCGCAAATGAAACGGCATTCTAAAAATGCTGCGCTCCAGTTAAAAGTCAAACTTGCGTCTCATTACCTTGTTATTTCCCATTCCACCGCAAAAGATGCATCCTTTATGAACAGCCGCTTAGCACTAGCGATGTGTTCTACGTTACGGTCCTTCATTGAACGCGTCACAGAACAGCGGTTAATCGCCTCAGCAACTTCACGCATGAAGCGCCAAATCAGCCATTTCCTTAAACAGCGTATTCGATTCTGTATCGTCATTAGTGTTAACAGTTGTAAGGAGTAGGCTACCAAATTGAACAAAACAATATAACTGCAAAATGTGAATTTATGAATACGGTATCCTCGGTATCGCAAAATCTATATCATGGCACAACATAATACCGGTATTCACGTTCATACCGGTATAGCGCCCACCCCTAGTCAGCAGTGTAGCGACGTAATGTATGAAGCACAGCTCACACAGGAGTCACTTTCAAGCAGCTTTCTGTGGGTCAAATCCAGTTAATTCCACTGACCAACTTGGTCCCAGAGTGACATTTTTGACCACGCACAAAATTGCTGATTGTGTGGATTCTTATTGAAATGACTGGAATTCACCAGTGAAAATTCAATGAACAACAGATAATTTTACTGCACCTTAACTATCTATCTTGTTTCTAGTGAGAATACTCAACAACCATTTATTAGTCCTGTTGATTCAAGTCACACATTTAAGCTTTTCAAAAGCCATAGTGTTCATTAGTCTCCAGTCTCACGGCATCCCAGGCTTCAATATTTTATGATTCAAAATAGCTGAATAACTAACCATCTGAGATTTCGGTATAGAGATAAAAGTTAGGATCATCATTTTCAGTAATTTTACAGCACAATGAGTGTATATTAGCACCGTTTGTTGTTTGTTTATGGCATCTGATAGAGCTTTTGGATTTGGAAACAGTGACATCAGACTTAACAAGCTTAACACAACTTAACTTAAATGAAGATGCACTTTTTTTTTTTTTTTACATTGATTTATTACATGAAACATATGTTTCCATGCATTTTGTTGAGATGTCTTTTCTTGTATATCCTATTGTATATACATGGTTGATTTTTCATGTTGCATATGTATTATACTATTTGTTTGTGTATTCTATTCATTGATATTAATTTATTATTAGCTTCTTTTCCCAAGTGCATGGAAGTGTATGTATTAAAATGGATCTAAAATATGTAATAAACAATTCTTATTTGGTTCAGTTTGTTTATTATAATAGAAGTTAATGGTAACCATAGTAACAACATGACATAATAATAAATAAATTAAAATTGGTTCCTGGAGGCACCCAAAACGGTTCCACACAGTGCCTAATATAAGAGTTCCTCAGGAAACCTGTGTGGTTCCTCAGAGAACCGCCCCTTTTTAAAGGGTTCCAAGAGGATCTACATACGGTTCCGCCGGTGTGGCAAAGTGAAGAACCCCAAAAGGTTCCTTCAGGCACCTTTTCTTTTTACAGTGTAGTTTTAGTTGAATTTGAGAATTGATTCACTTAGATTCATGTTTGTGAACTGGACTAACCAATTGATTGTAAAGATCTGACTCAAAATAACTATTCCTCCTTTATAAACTCTGAAATACTTGATTCTGATTGGTCAATAGCAGAATTCTGCAGTCATATATTTTTGTAGTCTGAGGCAACCGATTCCCAGCAGAGCTGTCATAGTTTCATACCTGCATCTTTCATCTTTTCTTCATGCCTTAACCTTGCCGGGGTTTGTTTTTTGACTGTACAATTATCTCTAATGTATGTCTTCTGTAGTTTCTGAACTCTGTTTAGTGGAGAGTGTTAGATTGAAAACCATTTCTCCAATTCCTGTAATGAAGCTTAATGCAACATTTGCTGGCAATATTAACTGATATTCCTTACATAAGCTTTGCCTTGCAAAGTCATTTAAATCTTTTGTCCAAATTTAATGTTTTTTTCATTATCATTAACCCAGTCTAAGCTGGATTTACTTAAGATCACTTGCAATGTTCTCCTTTAAAAGTCAACTATGCTTTGTTTTGATTAAACCTCTCTTAATGTAATCCAGTGTTATTCTGTGCATCGCCTTTGAGAATAACTGCGATTAAATGTCAGACAGAGGGGGTCTTAAGTTTTTATCAGCTGTATAGGCTGAGTTTGCAGGTGTGACTTGGCCTGCAAATCTCACTGGCCAATGTCCATTGGCTCATTTTGTTACCCCTTGAGGTGATTGGGCTCCCAGGTGAGATCCCATGACATCAGTCCGACATAACGTCAAATGTGACTGACTTAAAGGGAACTCAAGTTAGTTCTTTGTTGTACTATGGCAATTGCTTATCGTGGGTGTCCTTGAAAATACATTACCCTGGGAGAACGGTCCCAGCAGAGACCTGCAGCAGAAAGTGAAAAACAGCACTGTTTTATAGGCCCTTTGAGAGCTTAATGGCTGACTATGGAATGAGTCACTATACATCACATAAAATGTGTAGACAAATATGGCAAATTGCCAGAAATGTCTGCAATGCAAATAATCTCTTTTGTCAAAGCAAATACATTTTTTGTTTTTTTTTACCCTGTCCAAATTCATACGTCTGCTTAATATGGGAAATTTGAGGATTTTGATTGCGATGCAGTTGTTAAATCAATAAATCAAGCTCTTTTCACAATTCAGACCTGAGACATTTTGGTACTTCTCTTATTTATTTATTTTTACCTTTTACATTAGTGTTGTTAAATGGTTTATTCAACAACATTGATGTAAAAGGTAAACAAAAAAAACAACTTGTCAATGTTGTACTATGATGGTATTTGATGGTAATAGATTTCTGAATTTATATAAATACCCTGAATGCTGTTTTTTTCAATTGTGTTAATCAAAGAATCATGGAACAATCACTATCATAGTTTCCAAAGCTAAAATAGATTACTAGATGTAAATATAGAAATAAATAATTCACACCAAACTTTTGTTTAAGGTAACAAAACCTTTTTTTTTTCTTAACATATATATTTTTAAAACACACACACACACACACATACACAAACAAAGATTTATTGAAAAAATGTATTATTATATATAATTGGAAATAAACTCAGGTCTTGACACACAGTTATTTAACTAAACTAAAAAAATTATTGAAATGCCTGCATTATTACTATTCAAGGTTTCGAATTGACATTTGACTTCTAATGGTGACATTAACTTATGTTTGAAGGGGACACTTGGGTTCTGTTCACACTGGGCACGTCCTTGCACTTGACTGCGTCTTTTTAATTGTTGGTCTATGCTAGATGTATATCTTTGACTGTTGCGACTGCAAGCGTCCCCTTACTTGTACATAATTCTGAAAGCACACAAATCCAGCAGTTTTTCTGACCCATTGGTTTAGAAATAAACAAACTTATGCTCAATCATCCTTGTGTACATAGCGTTTTACTTTAAATGTGCCATATGGGTTATGTTGCTAGACCTACTTTATGCAGTTCAGTCGAAATGTGAGTCAAAGGAGTCTTTTTACACTACAATCTTTATATGCATCTTCATCTTTGACTCTTCTCGTCCACAGGTGACCACCCTGGTCAACACCAGTAACAAAGGCCCATCCAGTAAGAAAAAGGGCCGCTCTAAGAAGGCGCATGTGTTGGCTGTGTCCGTGGAGCAGGCGACCCAGAACTTTTTAGAAAAGGGCGAGCAGATTGCTAAGGACAGCCAGGACCTAAAGGAGGAGCTTATCGCAGCTGTAGAGGACGTCCGCAAGCAAGGTGAGCAGCCTGTTATCATATGAACGAACTGTCCCAAACAAAATCGTACTAAAAAATATGAATATGCTCTTACAACATTTTGCTTATGTTCCCATTACGTTATGAAAATGCTATTTTTAGGGCTGTCAAGCGATTAAAATTTGTAATCTAATTAATTACACGATGATGTGGTGATTAATCTAATTAATCGCAAATTAATCACGTCAAATTTGGCTGAGAAATTAGCCCCAAACGATAATTTAAAGTCCAAATTTGCCTTGGTCTTTTGGTATATAATAGGTCTTTGTACCATTAAAACTTCTGCAAGTTTCATAGCTTAACCCTTTGACGCGTACGATCACACCGGTGTGATCAGTCTTGGCTGGTCCCTGGAGCGTACGATCACACCGGTGTGATTAGAACGGTCAGTGCATCACGTGATCAACTGCTAAATTCAAACGTGCTTTCGCGCGTTGGCTGGCGCTGAGCCAGAGACAGACGCACTCAGTGCTGTCATATATCACAACTATTGAGTATTTTAAACCACATAATGTTTATTTTAGGTTTCAGACATTTAAATACACATAAGTACTAGCAAAACAGTGATTTTGAATTAGTAAAATAGACACTGATGTCTATGGAAACGGCAACAATAATCATTTCCATTATAATAAGACAAAACGTTTTATTCATATCAGATACACATTGTGTAAGTAGCTTTACATTTTACCCTATTCTTCTCCTAGTTCACCGGCCACTTACTTTCATGTATTTCGTGAGAAACAACAGATCCGATTCTCTGAACTGTGAAACAAACTAACATGGCGCCGCCCATCGTGCATACAGCTCAACTAATGCGATCGTTATAAATATGTTTAAACAACAAAACACATCTACTTGCACATATTTGACAATCGGAATATCAGTGTTTCATGCTGTAGCTAATACATTTGTGAATATTTTGAATAGAAAAGGAAAAAAGACATAAAAGCAGATCATCACTCATTCAGCTCTGTGTTGTGATTGCGCTGTGTCACGTGACAAGAAATGACGCGTCACCATGGAAACATTAAAGTGACAGGTTCTAAATAACGGTCGCCTTGAAAAACTCACGCTGGGGGGTCAGTTAGAATATTTTAAACTTACGTGTGAAAGGGTTAAGACGTCCTCCCCATTATAAACGAACAATTTATTTAATCAAGCTCTAAATACAGCTCGTTGTTCATCCATGGTATGAAGTGACGTCACGGTACGAAGTGACGTACCAGTCGTTTGCATATGACCGCCTCCAGGGCAAGACAACTACGCCTCATTTCGCATCATCGCATCGTTGTCACGCGCACAGGTGTTCAGTCGACGTGCAGCGAGTGGGTCTGTTTACAAGAAGATTGCGATGCCACGCAGATGTGCTGTTCCTGCTGTGGACAAACAACATGTTTGAATACGCTGCCGAAAGATAAATTTATGCATTTTAATATTTGCGGACGTCCCAGTCACGACAGTGTTAATTTAAGTGTGTGTTCTCTGCATTTCAAAGATGACTGTTTTGAGAACAAATCACAGTATGATGCTGGCTTTGCCAGAAAACCTTTTCTTAAAGATCAGGCTGTGCTGACTATTCTGGGCCTAACAACGACGCCGCAAACTGTAAGTAATGTAGAATCTTAAAACTACTTTTTAAAACGTTAATTGCAGTTTCATTCATTGTGAATAATCACAGTGCTTTTACTTAGTTTACTTGCATATTGTCCGTCATGTTCAGGCCCACGTAATAAAAGATGTAGGATGTCAAACTGACCGACCCACTCAGACATCTGTGGGCACACAGCTGTCGTTTCAAACTATAAGATCTAACTAAGTACCGTAGCAAAGGTATTATTTATATAATCATAACTTGTCATCATAATTCTATTCATAAGAATCTTAAAAGCTTATTGCCTAAAAAATGAAGTATTTATAGTCCATATTTTTGTAGTACTGCAATTACAATTGATAGAATACAACTTTACATTGTATTTTCTAACTTTATAGAAACACAAACAGAGCAGTCATCAAATCTTTCAATTGTTGATGTCGCCATACCCTGGACTAATTCACAGCCTTTTACTTCAACAGATTTAAAAGATGCATCTTCAAATATGGCCTGTGCGTGCATTTTGTCCGTGGTAGACCCTAATTTATGCATAAGCACTGACGTTAGCCAATCATAACAGTGGGCGTTAACACTGAACTCTTAAAGGGGAAACACCCCCAAAACAGACTGTTTGAATCAGAGGATGAGAAACATGGTGGGAAAAGGTCATACATTTTTTAAAAACTTTTAAAGTTTTTTGTTACAAAAACTATAGTAATACTATAATTGCACCTAAGGTAACATAATAAAACAAACAAAAAAACATGTCATGACCCCTTTAAACGGCTGATTCATTCAGGAATTAAATAAATGGCTTACTTTATGAATTTGGCCATTGAATCATTGGTTCACCCGATTGATTCGCTCAAAACGCGGATTCATTTAGAAACGAAGCACAGCTGCGTGTTGCTCGGAGACGCACAACAATTCTGCTCTGGCTCTACAGGTAATATTTTTGTTGGCAAAATTGAGCAAAAGCAGACAATACTGTGTATAAAATATAACACAATATTAACTTATTTTTTATTGAACGGTTGTATTAAATCAATAACACATTTGCACTCATGCTATCAGGACAAAAACAGCACTCGTGGGATATTGTATATCATGATATAAATATGAGCCAAAAACTCATACAGGGGCATTTTTGCCCTGATATCTTGAATTTTAGGAGTATTCTAACTACATTCTATAGGCTCCATTACGCAGTGAGTTGTTGCCCTGCATCATATTTGTCACCAAGCAACTATATAAAATGTATCATTATTCTCTGCAGCACCATCTTTAATTTTAGCGGGAATGAAAACGAGGCTGTGAGGGATAGACATACATCTCTTCAGAGGGTCGTGCTGTTATTTAATGTGTTTTTGGATTGTTCTGCTGACGAAACACTGCAAAAAATATCTTTACAAGAAATTTCAGTAAACAAAACACTCCCGACAATAGCTGTGGAAAATTCTGATCTAGGAGCTTATAAAGGTTTTTTTTTTTTTTGGTGTTTTTTTTTTACAGCATAGGCCATTGAAAACTCGGAATAAGGTCTATAACTTTCAATGAAACTTGCCAGAATATAAGCCAAAGTTCTGAGAACATTGCTTGTTTTAGCTTCTTATTTGTTCCAGAATCCCACCAAGCAGCCAGCTCTAAAGGTTTAATAACTGAAGATGGTGTGGCATAGTGGCTAAAATGCTCTCTCTTGACTCGTTGCCTGTCCATTAGTCATTCTGGTTTCCCGAGAGAGTAGAAACGACTTTTAGGGTCATGTGGCAACCATTCACACTCATTATCTGTCATATTATCTCACCATTAAAGTCATTAATGTGGTAATTTGCTGTGGTCTTTAGTGTTTTTTTTTTTTTTTTTTGCCTATGTGTGGCAGTTTGCAGACAGCTAAGGTATAGCTTTTTTCTCCTCCGTCACCTATAAGTTCTGCCTATTATTTACAGCCCTTATCTGGCAGCACATTACACACACACACTGTCTCTTACTAAGTTTTCTCTACGTCCTTTTTTCTTTTATGATTGTTCCCATACACACTGAGTCCCTTACCAAACCTTGCATACTCATTGTTCTGGACTGAAGTTAGTGTTTGCTCAGCCAAATTACCTCTATGAAAATGGCAAACAGTTATTGATGGTGTTTCACAGACCATTCATCATCCCATAAACACAGTCGAAGAGCAATTATGAGGTTGTGGAGAAAAGAAAAAAAGCCAATTTTAAATTCCAAAAGCTAAAATATATTTTCTATCATCTGTTTTCTCTTTTTTCTGGTTTGTTTTAAGGACTGTATGATGAGGTAATGAATTATTAATTTGTTTAGTTTAAATGTCTTGCTAATATACTATTAATGGATTTTGGGGTGATTATTTGTCTATGTTCAGGACTTTAAACATTAACTAATCCGTGAGTAAAACAAAGAATAAAATACAGCTTGGCGAAATATGTATTCAAATGAATACTGTTCAACACAAGAGCACAACTGTTTTCAATATGAAATATATAACAATAAGACATTTTTGAGAAGCAAATCAGCATGATTTCTGAAGGATCATGTGACACTGAAGACTGGAGTAATGATGCTAAAAATTCAGCTTTGCCATCACAGGAATACATTATTTATTTTTTTTATTCATAAATAAATTATCCTTGGTGAGCATAAAAAAGTTCTTTCAAAAATATAAAAAAAATCTTACCAACCCTAAACTTTTTGATGGTAGTGTATATTTTTCCACAAGACCAGAGTCACAGAGTTTGTAATAGTCATTTGTGGTGAACATGCACAAACGTTCTCAGATCTGCAGTGAATTGACTGCTGTACTGACAGATGGAGACTGAGCCAAGCCTGGCTGCAGGGACAGAATGAAGTGTGTTAAAATACTCCGTGTGGACCATTAGCAAGCCGACCTTTAGCTGGGGTGAGGTTAATAAACAGGTTGGGCATAATGGTCCAAGTGACATACCGCTCCCAAGGCTGACCGTCTGTTAGCCTACTCTGTGTGAAACAGGGATCAAAGGACAAAGAAAATACTTAAAAAGAAACGAGAAGCCGTTCTTTTTCGATCTAATTGTTGCTTGTGTCCCATCCCACAGTTATTGATTTATTCACTTACCGACAATGAAAAATGACTTTGTGAAACTTTCAACCAAAAGATAATTAAGCTACTAATCAATTATATAAGACTTAACAAGACAGTGGATAAAAAGACAATGCAGAAGATCCATTGAAAAATTAAAGAGACTTCAGTGGTTTTTCAACAAGGTTTCAGTAATGGGACCTGAGGGTCATCTCAGGGATCGATATGCTATCCAGCTAATGCTAGCCGAAATGCTCTGCACCAAGGTCTGTAATACCTGGATAAATCCGTTACCATCTCAATAGCAGTTGTCCGGCTTTTTTCAGGGCCTCCCTGTAAGTGTGCAACCTCTCATTTCTGGACCTGTGCCATAAATGCAATGGAACCTGTCAGCAGCAGCTAACTAAATTATGCTAACCAGCTAAACCTTAACCTATTGGTTGCAGGAAGTATTAGCAGGGACTATAAATTATACATATTTATATCCGATTTCTGTTTTATGTATTCATTTAGAGGTTCCTACAAAGTCAAATTGATTCCCCATGCTCCCAAGTGTTCCTCAAAGAAATGATTCCTCAAATTCTTCAAATAAATGATTTCATTCAATTCCAAATTTATCTGGGGCGGCAAACGACCTAGTCCTATCTTAATGTTTTCCTGTCACACTTTCCAGATTACAGCCATGTGTATCTTGGAGGAGTATTGAATCTGACCGAGTTCGCCCTAATAGTTTTTAAGACCTAGCCTTTACTGGTATAGGCTCAAGAAGACGTCATCCGAAATTCGGAAGCATTCAACTATAAAAGCTTGGTTTAATGCTGTAGCAAATTAGCTCCAAAGACAATTATGATTAATTAATCATAACTCATTATAATTAATTATAAATATTTGGATCAGTTAATCAAAATATCTTTATGTAGCTGAATAAATATTACCGTCAATTAATCTGTTCGTCCAGCGAACACTCAGTATTGATCGTCTATCATATTTTCGGGACCGAATGAAATGATTTAACGGACATTTTATGGTCATACGCCTTCCACAGATGTTATATATTTATAAAAATACATTTAGACCGCTTAACATAGTGATTGCTATCAGGATGTGAGAAGACTTTCAACCAGTATAAGAAAAAACAAACCTGTAGAGAATCACCTATTGCACATTTAATGATATGCTAAAGCCTGCACGCACTTTGACGTGATTGGCTACAATGTAGTTTGTGACATAAGAAACACCAGCGATTTCAAACCGCTTCTTTTTTCTTTCACCGCTGGTTTAAGGAGAAAAAACTATGGTGTTGACACATGAATTTGCACATGGTTTGTCTTAAAGCATATTAAAAACAACACATAGACATTAAAAAAACAACATTAAAAACTAGATTTTCACCAATTTTTTTTTACTTTTTTTTTTTAAATCAGCATAGATGAATTCACTGCCCTCGATACGATACGTTCCTGGTTCGTAAAAAAAGAATAAATGGTTTCTGACAAAGTGAGGTAAAAGACAATATTGCAAAAATATTGATTGTTTCAAACGGATTGGATGAAAATGAAAGAGCAATATGTCTGTCCTATAATGTCCTATATGCCCAGCTATAATGGAAATTATATAATAACCTCCTCTGGTAATCCATGAAGGTAGAGCTGCCACAAAAATACACAGAGCCAGAGGACAGTGCTGACATTTCAGCAGCAAGACACTGTTAAGAATAGCTGGCATTCTGTCGTTTCAGTTCAGTGTGCGAGAAGAACAGCAGAATGCACACATACGCTAAAGTACAGCCTTATTTATGGTGTACATGCAAGTGTTCACCCACACAGAGCCAGTACGGGGTTAAAAACAAATATTCCCGTTCTCTCTTTCCCTAGACTCTGTGAAGTCACAAGCTTTCATATCTGTATATCATTCTCAGATCCAATGACATTTGCTAATGTCTCAGCCGGGCTTTTTGTAAGCTTTCATTAATCAAGTCTGTCCCACCTGTGGCTCCTGTTCGGATGGAAGGTGGGGGGTCCACTTACTGTAGGGTCATTAATAGATTCTGTCAATGAATCTGAGACAAATTGCTCATTTCGACTTTAGCTACCATGCCACAGTACCGTACTGATGTAGTCTGAATCATTTAGGCACAACAAAATATGTGTACACATAAATAAATGAAAATGCTACCTTTGACAAATGGAGTGCTAAATAAATGTTCAGAAAGTGCATGGTCATCTAATACTGTCAATCAAAATGAAAGGGTATTAAACAGCTGCTTACATAACTGTTATGACAACTTAAAAATGGCTTTCTTTATTTTGGTTTTATTATTCTCGGCATATTGATCTCATCTATTGTGTTTAAAGTTTTGAAATGTTTATTGAAAGTTCGAAAGGCACTGCATTTCATGGACAATATAGTTGGACACAATAATGGCACATTGTGTTCCAGCAAGTTTCTGCATAGTTTATTTATTTTCTGAAGTGTGCCGTTTCTCTAATGAACACTCTTGGAAATCTTGCCTGTGCTCACAGTTTATTTCACTGGTAAACAGATGCACAGCTATTAATAAACCATTGACATGTCCAGGCAGCTTTATTTGGTTCCGAGTTAAAATTCCTAGAAATGCACAAGGGATTTGCTTTGTGGTATAACATTAAACATATGTTGTTTTGTGCCTATGTGCAGGTGAGACGATGCACGTGGCCTCCTCAGAGTTCGCGGATGACCCCTGCTCCTCTGTGAAGCGTGGGACCATGGTCCGTGCCGCCCGCGCCCTCCTGTCTGCTGTCACTCGCCTTCTCATCCTGGCGGACATGGCTGATGTCATGAGGCTCCTGGCTCACCTCAAGATCGTACGTTCTCTTCTCGTTCATCTCTGACTGGTCATTTCTTTCCCCCACAGTTGCAGTTAATTTGTGAAATTAATCACTATTTATTTATCATTAATAATTTATTGTGTTTATAATTTCAAAATCTTTCTTTTAAAAAAAAAAACATAAAACAAAACAAACAAAAAAGTTATACAAATTATTAATTTGTATAACTTTTTTTGTTTGTTTTGTTTTATGGTTTTTTTTTTTTTTTTTTTTTTTTTTTTTTTTTTTTGCTTTGCTTTGCTTTTCGTTTTTTCGTTTCGTTTTTTCGTTTTTTTTGTTTACCAGATTTTTGCTTTTGTTTTGGCATTTGTTTTGTTTTGTGTTTTATTTGTTGTTTGCTTTTTTCTTTTCTTTTTGTTTTTAGTTTTTCAGATCATACAGCCTTACTCTCTACCCTCCTTACACACTTTTACACACATATGTATTAACCTACATTTTGTTGCCAGTGAGAGTCGTCTCCTGGAAAATTCATTGTCATCTTTCTGTTCCTTTTTGGTTCTGACTGAGTGACTGAGTGCGGCTGGTCTTCGCAGCTGGTCACTTTCCACTGGGTCAGAACAAGCCGGACCATCCTCTTAATTGTTTTGATATCCAAGTAAACACATCTGCCTTTATTTCAAGGGCACAGGAGTTATATTTATTGTAGAAAAAAAGAAACTCTTTATTTCCACTCCTGCTCTCTATTTGCATAGCACATACAGTATTGCCAAAGCAACAACCTCATGGCATAACTTTGTAACAGAGAATTTAAAATGCATAAATAACACTCTCAAATACCACTTATCTTGCCTCTGGTCATCAAATAGGCTTCATGTTTTGCATTTGTAATTTTGGTGTAGATAATTATATTTCAGAGCGGCTGAATTTAGGCTTTTTGCTCTTATACCTTAATTTTCATACAGTTTTGCCCTTAATCCTATTTCTTCTAGTTGCATCGTTCTGTTTTCTTTAGAATTTTGGTCCCCACTGGCACGAAGGAAACAGACACAATTCTTCTCACTCTAAACCAACAATTATAGAGTTTAGAGTGTTTTTTTTGTTGTTGTTTTTTTACCCAGTGGCCTCTCTGTTATATAATCAGTAAGCACATTTGAGAACTAAGATCTGTCAAACTCAATGGTTGCGAAAAAAATAACTTTTATAGTGTAGGATATGACTGAGAAACTTTTATATGTCCCTCAAGGGACAAAGCACCTACTTGTTCTTCTGCTAGTCTCATTACGGAGAGTGAAAACTGTCAGAAATCACATTACATGGAGTCCCAGGAGAACCAATAATAAGCACTAGAAAAGTTAACCGTGTGCTTTATGGAACTTTTATTCTACCATTCATTTTATGGATGATGTCTAAACAGCTGGATGTGTGTGTGTGTGTGCGTTGATGCGTGTGTTTCCAGGTGGAAGAAGCTCTAGAAGCTGTCAAGAACGCCACCAACGAGCAGGACTTGGCCAATCGCTTTAAGGAGTTTGGGAAAGAGATGGTCAAACTGAACTATGTTGCTGCTCGTAGACAGCAGGTATTTATTAATATCACTTGTGTTTTGAATTTAAGAATATCATGAATTGTATGTAGTGTATATTTTTAGTTTTTTTTTATAACAAAAGGCTATTCTAATGATTTGTTTTAATTCTTGGAAGTTTTAATTCTATCCATTCTATCACAAATCGTTGTATGCATGAAGGGTCTTTGACTAATTGCGTTTTGTACAATTATAGGATGGATGGCTAGCAGTTAAATTTGAAAATGTATTAATCTTCAAACTTTACTCATTTCATTTGCTGCTTTACAGTGGCTTTCGATAGCTAGCATGTGTGTGTATTTGTGTATGTGTGTTGCAGGAGCTGAAGGACCCTCAGTGCAGGGATGAGATGGCGGCAGCTCGAGGAGCTCTTAAGAAGAACGCCACCATGCTCTACACTGCCTCCCAGGCCTTCCTGCGCCACCCCGACGTGGCTGCTACACGTGCCAACCGTGACTACGTCTTCAAACAGGTCCAAGAGGCCATCGGTGGCATCTCCAGCGCTGCCCAGGCCTCCTCGCCCACCGACGAGAAGCACGGACACGCTGGCATCGGCGAGCTGGCAGCCGCTCTCAATGAGTTTGACGTGAGTAAACAGCATATTTATGCAGTCACACAAACTGTAACATGATGCAGTTTTTTCATTGTTTTTAATGTTTCAAGCTATCACATTTTGAAGATTAATGTGTAAGCTTTTTAAAAATCTTTGTAATCCCCATAAGGTGCTTGGCACTTTGTTTCGATCAATTTGACATATTTTACATATATTTAGTGCTAAGGTGTGTCATTTCCACACCACTAATAGCACCGGCATTGCTTATCTTCCATTGTTTACTCAAACAGGAAGTCCTGGACAAAACTCATGACATTGGCACAAAACAAAACAAAAGCAAATATAATATTCTAACCACCAGAATCTCCAACATTTTTGAAAGTAACCGTATTGTACGAAACATGTGGTCTAAAATAACAAAAGCAATGGGCCCTTCATTTTCTTTCTTTCTTAATTTTTTCTTTAAAACAAGAAGTCAATATGATTCTAATATTGACATTAATGGGAAACCATCACAGAAGTTTTAACTTCCTGTGAGCGACTACTTGGAATATAAGGTCAGGCTGCCATCTAGTGGTCATGAAGGACGTTTAAGGTGATCATAAACACTAATGTTTACAAGTGTTAAAATTAATGTAGTGAATTTTTTTAATGTAGTGCAGGTTGTATTGAGACTATATAAAGCTTGGAATATGATCTGCCCTTTTTTATCTTCACCAAGACTTTTGTCAAAATGATGTCTGCAAAATGATAATGATTGGCATAAGGTTCAAGGCATTTCAGGGGTGTACTTGGCACACAAAATGGTCAAAAGTGTGTGGATAAATGGTACCAAATCGGTTTGAAATTATGTACACTCTAATGAGATAGTTTAGATTAAGATGTTTAGCTGTTTAAGTATGTTGCCTGGAGGCACCAAAAAGTCTTTGCCGCCGTCTAATGGCGAAATAATGTAACTACTGTTGCTGTTCACGGTCAGGGACTATTTTTTCAAGCGGAAGGAAGGCTATTAGTGATTTTACTTCATTAAAAAGTTGCATTGATACATATTTTTTTGGATTTAATATTTGTTTTGTGTTGTAACCGTTTTACAAAAGCAATAAGGTATTCGAGGCTAGTGCTGTATCATGAATAAGTCACGGCTGAAGGGGTTGCAGGCACTCGACTTATTCACGATACAGCACAGCCTCTCGCACCTTATTGCTTATAGTATTTTTTTATATTTTGACTGAGCTTTTATTTTTATATTTTGACTTTTCAATTTTAGTAATCTAAACTCTAACTAAAGACAATTTCAGCTGTGAAGTATCTTGCAGCTACAGGTCAGAAATAATTGTTTTTTAGAATGGATGATTTTAATGGTTAAGACTTTCTTCTATTTTAGTGTAGACAGCTACAGTATACTGCAGCTCTGTCTGAAACCTGCTCTGTTTATGTGGATTAAACATAGAAGTGCATTTTAGTCACTGCAGCAATATGCTAACATCTAAGTCTGTGGAAATCAAGTTGAGAACTTGCAGCCTGGAATATAAAAATTACTGCGTTGGACAAAATGGCTTTTGGATATTTGTATGGGGAGATTAGATTTAGTGTGCAGAGAAAATTACTCATTGGTTGAAAATATGTGACTTCTGGCTGGACCAGTGGCATTTTGTTTGACAAAGGAAGACGGGACAGTGGAAGAAGGTGAAGTGTTTTGGAAGCCGGTTTAATCTTTTTTGTTCGTTTGATCCACAGAATTACGGAATTACTTAGAATTTACACTTTTAACAACTCAGTTTCCTGTCTCTGTCTCCTCTGTGTCTCAACATTTCGTCTATGCGCTTCATTGAGGGCACACTTTCTTGATAGTCAGTGTAAATGGAGGTTTTCTCACACCTGCTGGATAGTATTAAATCGTGTGTGGCAGTGATGCATATGATTTCTGAAAGAGGAATCGCAGCTGGAGGTGCGAGACGTGTGTGAAGTGTGGAGAAGTCCCGTTAATGAGTCTCTTTCTCCCCGACCTCCTGCATTCCTCATGAAGCTCAGACGCACAGCTCACCCAGATTCCACACTCTTATTTATCAGAGTGAATATGCATGCGGGTAGATAGTAATGGCATGACAGAAATTGCACATCTCTTTGAAAATTCTCTGTGAAAATTTGTCATCTACTAGGGAATGTTCTGCTTTGATATTCTATGTTTTGAAGTAAGGTCTGCGTATGAGATTTTGCCTGTGTTATGAGGACAAAATATATGCGGGTCACCAACATTTTGACATGAAATGCCATTTTTAAAACAATTATAATAATATTTAATTTTTCATAATTTGAATCATACTTTATTTCACAGTAATATTGTGAAATATTACAATTTACAATGTATTTATTTATTTTTTAATACTGCAGTTTTCAGTGTCACATGATCGTTCAGAAATCATTCTAATATGCTGATTCGGTGCTCAAGAAACATTTCTTATTATTAGCAATCTTGAAAATAGTTGTGCTGCTAAATATTTTAGAGGAAACCGCGTTTTCCTCCCCCAGAATTCTTTGATGAATAGAAAATTCAAAAGGACAACATTTTGTTGAAATATATTTTTTGTAACATTATGTATGCTTTACTGTCACTTTTGATCAAGTTTATGCATGTTTGCTTTACAAAAATTATGTTACAAATAAATCTTGTTCTTTTGAGCTTTTATATTCATCATTGGATCCGATGTATCATGGTTTCTACGTAAAATATTTAAATATTACTTATTAATATTATTATTGAAAATGATTTTTAAATACTTAAAACATGATATATTATTAAAATTAGCAGTACTTTTCTGGTGTCTTTGCACATATTGTGTTAAAGTTACTGGGTTTACCAGCTTTACATGGACATAACAAGAGTTCTGTATTTCTTTTTACAGCCAAGGTTTTATCAGTGCAGTTCAATGTCAAAACACTGTTATTTTAATGCTTCCTCCCAGTGCAAAGCCTTGTCCCATAAGCTTTCTTTGTGAGTGTATTACTGTTAACACGATTTTTACTTGATTTGACAAACTGAGGGATGAGACCAAATGACTTTCTGTGGTAATCGACGCACCGCTCAGATGCTGTCGATAGAGCTTAACTGGTATTGAACCCAAGACATTGCTTTAAAATCTTACAGAAAACACAAAACAGCTGAGTAAATGGAAGATAAAGAATGCGTAAGCCCTGTTTGTTGATCCAGAGCTCAATATGCTGTGATCTTATTGGGTTTCTAAACGGAGTGATACAAAATTTGTCTTGAAACTCACTAGAGGGCAAGTTGGCAAGGTTTGCAGTTTATACAGCATTTTCCGCTTCTGTGGAAATGACTTTTGGCGTTTTAGGGATGTTTACCGCATCTGTCGTGCGGAAGTTTACAGGGACAACAAGAGATATGTGCCAAAACCTAGTGATTTAGGGCCTTATTGCCACTCCTGATGTGAAGACTGTTCCAAAAAGTAGGCCTCTTAATTATGTTGCCTCTCAAGGTAACTTGTTTTGACCAGATTGTAAGACAGCATTCGATGTATCTTTCAGAGAAGGCAATCCCAGAATGCATTTCAACAAGCTCAGTGAAAACAACAAATCCAAGATTGCAGACAAAGCTAGAGTCATGGTATACTATGGTATTATTATTATTATTATTATATGCATTACTGTTCAAAAGTATTTGTTTTAATGTTTTTGAAAAAAGTCTCTTATGCTCACCAAGGCTGCATTTATTTGACCAGAAATGCAGTAAAAACAGTAATATTGTTAAATATTATTACAATTTAAAGTAACTGTTTTCGATTGGAATATCTTTTAAAATTAAATCTATGTAATAATGAAATGTAATTTTTAGTTAATAATGTAATTGATTCCTGTGATGGCAAAGTTGAATTTTCAGCATAATTACTCCAGTTTTCAGAGTCCTTCAGAAATTATTTTTATATGCTTTTATTAGGTGCTAAAAGTAAAATTATTATAATTTTTCACAACATTTGTTTTGTTTAATATTTCTGTGGAAACATAATCTTTATTTGATGATTGAACAAACATCAAAATAATAGTATTTATTAAAATTAGATTTTTTTAACATCATAAATGTCTTTACTGTAATTTTTGATCAATTGAATGTGTCCTTGCGTGAGGTTAATACAATTATTATTTTTTATTATATTATATTATATTATATTATATTATATTATATTATATTACATTATATTATATTATATTATAGGCAGCTCCCATAGGTTTTGGAACAGAGCAATGCATGATCCCTGCAAAGTGCACACTTAAGGCCAATTTATACTTCTGCGTCGGGTGCGCGCAGTAGGTACGGCGTAGCATACGCACAGGCGCGTACCATACGCCGTACCCTTCGCCGTAACCTGACGCGCACCTCCTCAAAAATGTAACTACACGTCGCGACGACGCGGACCGCAAGATCTGTGATTGGTCGGCTTGGTAGCATCGCGTTTCCTCCTATGCATTTCCGGCGTGTTCTTCTGCACCGCCCGCCATTTTTAAATTCTAAGTACAGCGAAACTGTTAAAAAAACTAAAAATGTACCTTTTCCACCTCGATAAGCTCCAACTCCAACATGATCTGCTCTCTTTCAGTCGCCATTGCTTGTAATAACCTAAACTCAAAACAGCCGCGAGGAATCTTCTTCTTCTTGCCGCGAGGAATCTAAACACAGTGGAACATTAAAACCCTCCGCCGCTAACTAGCGTTTCGGCGCTGTACTGCAGAGCAAGGCAGACCTAAACGCAGAAGTATAAATGCTCATGACGGCGTCGCCTACGTGCGTAGCCTACGCCGTACACTACGGCGTACACTCGACGCAGAAGTATAAATTGGCCTATACTCTCTTACAAACACGATCACACACATATCGTGTCTTCTTAGTGCACATTGGGACTTAACATCAGGATCATGGAGAAACATTGAAAATTTGATTAATGCAGCAGCCTTTGTAGTGTACCACACACACACACACACACATTCATGCCTGTTGTTTTCCTCAGAGTGCTCCTTTTTTT